AGTTGCTTGTCAGGATTAAATAGGTTAGTATAAGTAAAGTATGCCTGACAAAGAGAATATGCTGAATTTTTAAAGCTGTTTTTAAGTCTTTCTCCTTAGCATCTGCAGCAGTTGACATAGTTGACCTCTCCCTCTTCTTTAGTCCATTAGCTTTTTCACTGGGCTCAAGCTGAGATTAATTCACTTCGGGGTCTTTTATCTTTGTTCTGCCTGTTTGTTGTCTGTCTTCATACATCAGGTGTTCATCTTCTCATCTCCCTTTTGGATAATTTTTTCTCTGGAAATTTATCACGATAGTTATACCTTTTACATTTATTATTTCCCCAAATTGTATTTCTAGCCCCCTTTTAGCTTCAGTCCTACATTATAACCGCATCTCAGATTGCCTGACCAGCATCATCCTCTCCCTTTCAAAATCCTTTATTCACTTGACTTTTGTTAAGAGACCTGGAAACTGTGGCAGCATGTCATAGCAGCTAGGAACAGAGATGTCAGGATCACAGGGATGCTGCGTTGGTGTCCTGCAAAGCCCAGGCGACAGTTCTAGATCCCTGCAGAGAGGCATGGTTTCCTTGTCTTGAATCCTTACAGCACTGTCAGTGAGCAAAGCTGGTTGTGGAAAGGGGCTGGGAGGCACAGTTTTATAGCAAATGTGTCTCTTAATTTTCTTAACTGGAGAATTAGACAAGTTCATAAATCTCCTGCCTCACAAACTCAGGATAGAACTGCTGGCCTAGAAACTTTCATAAACTGTTGAAGATAGGTTTTATTCTTTAAAAAATTTTTTTTGAGATTTTTTTTTTACCCCCTGGGAAGCAGAACGGGTAAATAGGTTTGATTTATATCTCACAATGCAGAGTCTAATAGAAAATGAAATTAGAGAACACAACAGCATGGCTTTAAGCAATAGTAGGTGTCCCTATTTGTTTTCTGAAATGAAGTTTCTTATAAATTGGAATAGAAATTTTAGACAAGGATTTTCTCTACCCAGAGGACTAGTGAATAAGACATTACGTTTTATGCTACTACTAATAAGCAAGTTTTGGGTTTGGGTTAACATAGTCTTCTATTTGGAAAGCAGACAGTTGGATCCATTCTTGTGCTGGTTTAGTGCATCTTGCAACACTTTGACATAGCACTTTCTTCCTGTTAACCACTCTCTAAATACAATTTCATTCCCTAATGGGTTCTGATCTTTAGGGATTAAACCCATGAGGACCATTAACCTGAGGAATGTAACTCAATTAGCTGTAAATGATTTGAAATAAATGAACAGATTTTCTGTTTGGAGAAACTGGTATCTAGCTTTTCTTAATTTCAGTCCTCATTCATCTGTTGAATAGTATATGCACTCTTTTGATAAATCACCTTTGTTAGAGGTACCACAAAAAATCATTTTTAAGGCCAGGTGCAGTGGCTCACACCTGTAATCTCACCACTTTGAGAGGCCAAGACAGGTGGATTGCCTGAGCTCAAGAGTTAAAGACCAGCCTGGGCAACATGGAGAAACCCCATCTCTATAAAAAAATTAGGTGGGCATAGTGGCAGTTGCCTGTAGTTGCAGCTACTTATGAGTAGTAAGATGAGAGTAGACAAGGAGACCATGCCTGTCTGAGATGGGAGGATTGCTTGAGCCTAGGAGGCGGAGGTGGCGGTGAGCCAAGATAGAGCTCCAACCTGGATGACAGAGTGAGACCCTCATTCCAAAAAAAAAAAATCCCTTTTTTCCTTAACAGTTTTGTTACCTACAAGTTACATAATCTAAAAAAATTTTCTGGGAAACACAATAAAGCATAGAATGCTTCTACTTAGCATCTTGTTTCTTAGGCCAGGATCAGTTCTGGAAGTCCAAGTTTTTTGACTTAGGCTGAGTTCTACTACTTTGTGGCAGATTTGCTTTTTACAGTCTGATGTAGCACAAATATAAGACGTTCGTATTATTGACAACAAATTTCATTTTAACTTTAGGGTTGAATAATGCAAGGTGCTGCAAACCAGGTGGTGTTAGTGATCTGTGTGATGCTGCCCCACCCACATCATTTCAGTTGAACTTTGGATCTTCATTTCAGAGTTGTTAATGTTAGCTTGTCTTTTGTTGAACATTTTTCTACATTTTTGCTTGGCTGTTCTTTTAGTTTTCTTTTTTCTCATCATCTCTTTTTTCCATTGTTTTTCATAATTATCAAAGATAAATTTATTGTTGTAGATATTTTCATTATTAAAAAATGAAAATGGATTAAGAAATTAGAAAAAGAAAAGTCTAAACATATAAGAATGAGGTCAGGAACTAATAAATTTAAAAATAGAGGAAAACAGAATTGAGATATTCAAGACAAATTATTTAAATATAAGCAATGGAATATACAAATATGACACGTCTTATCAAAAAGAAAAAGGAATACTTGCTCTGGCAGCAAATATACTAAAATGGGAACAATGCAGAGAAGATTAGCATGGCCCCTGCTCAAGGATGACATGTTTATTTTCAAATTTTAAATAGAAAAGTAAAGGGAGAAAACACAATTAAAAATCAAAAGTAGAGGAGATTCAAAAATTATATGAGATCATGCACGGCTTTACCTCATTTGAATATCTCAATAAAACTGTTGAATCTCTGGGACAAAATAATTACTCCAAATTGAATCAAGAATAAGTCGAAACTGAAATACATCTAATACAATTTCTGGCAGAGGGCAGGCATTCAACAAATCAACAAATTGAATACATGAACAGAGAGGAATTGGAACAGGTGTCTGATTACAGCTTTTTTTTAGATAGTCTTGCTCTGTTGCTCAGGCTGGAGGGCAATGGCACAATTCTGGCTCACTGTAACCTCCACCTCCTGGGTTTAAGTGTTTCTCCAGCCTTCGCCTCCTGAATAGTTGGGATTACAGTTGGGATTTTGGCCTCCCAAAATGCTGGGATTACAGGCCTGAGCCACCACACCCTGACATTACAACTTTTAGATGAGTTGTTATGAGAGGTCAGTTCAGACTTTTAAGGATTTAATATCTGCCACACTACATCAGTTATTTCAGAGTTCAGAAAATGATTGTAATGTGTATAGTCTATTTTATGAAAGTAACATTAAGAACAAAACCAGAGATGGCCAAAAAGCCACAAACCTTACTTATGAATATATATTAAATAAATTGTATGAATAAGTGTTTCCCTATATGGCCTATTTATTTATTTTAAAATATTCAACTTCTATTTTAGATGCAGGGCATGCACGTACAGCTTTGTTACATGGGTATATTGCATGATGCTGAGGTTTGGGGTGAGATTGACCCTGTCACCTCGGTAGTGAGCATGGTACCTGATAGGTAGTTTTTAGACTTATGCCCTGCTTTGTCCCTCCCTCTTCTGGTAGTCCCCAGATTCTGTCATTACCACCTTTATGTTCATGAGTACCCAGTGTCTAGCTCCCACTTACAAGTGAGAACATGCGGTAGTTGGTTTTCTGTGCCTGCATTAATTTGCTTAGGATAATGGCCTCCAGCTGCATCTATGCTGTGGCAAAGCACATGATTTTTTTCTTTTTTATGACTGTGTTCTTCATTCTTTTAAAGTCCACTTAAGTACAAAAATGTGAAAATGTGTTGTATTTGTAACCCAGTATAGTAAATTCACACGTCAGCAAGTTAAATATAATCATAGGACTACTTTTTAGAAAGCCTGTAGACATGCTCTTAAAAATGACATCTGTAAAGCTTATGTGAAACCTGGATTTCTGTTTCTCTCTTTTTTCTGGATTGAAGTTGAAAGAAGTTTTATTTTACTCTGCTTCTCTAGTAGTTTTATTTATGCTGTGCTTATATGTACTTTGAGCAAGTTTACATTTACATAAAAAGTGGAAAAGAGGGTAGTAAACATTATATTTCTCTCATCCCGCTGTTCCATCTTGAGAAAGTAGAGCAGGACTCAGAAAATTAGTCAGCATTCTTAATTTTTTTATTCAGCATTCATCTTTCGAGAGTGTCATTACTGTCTGTGTTCAGAGACAGCTTATCTTAAAATTGAGTCATTAACTGAGACTTGCAGTTTCTTGCTTTTGCCATGGTAGCGAGTTGCTGCCTCTCATCTGAATGGAGTTTATGATTTGCTGGCTGTGTGTTTAGAGGCTTTAAAGAAGGGTGCACTACTTGCACATCTGCCTTGTGAAAATGAGGAAACTGAGATCCAGGGAGCTGTACAAAGTTATGCATAGCACTAACAGAACTGGGACCAGGAAAGGAGTTTCAAACTTAGTTCCGTGCCTCTGGGGAGTCTGGACATCTCAAAAGTTAGGGATTTTTGTGATCTTTGTTAATTTACCAGTTTCTCCCAGCAGAAGAAATTAGGAGACTATTTTTGAAGCACTTACTGTGAAGAATTAAATTGACTCACTTTAAAAATGCACATTGATTTTGATTTTGTTTGCTTTTAGTGATCCTGGTAGATAGAATTGTGATTGAAAGGGAGTGTAAAACTTTAACTCTTAGAAATGACCCAAACAGATACTGATCCTAGATCACTCTTCCCTGCAAACACATGCAAGAATTTTCAGGACCATTGCAAGATCTTTATTCATACTAGATATTATGGGATTTATAAGGAATCCTAGCCTTTGTGAAGTTTTTGGTATGAAGAAATTAATATATAACCTGAATTTTATAACTGTAGGATTGAGTACTTGTAATAAAATGCCTTTTTGAAATATCTAAGTATATTTTATAGTAGAAAATCACTTATGGATGTCGGGGTTCATTATGACACTTTGTTCAGTTAGTTTCATTCTATTTGACAGATATTTCCACATTATTTTTTTGTTTTGTTTTTAAAAATCAGTTTTTGTAAGTTTTTATAGTAGGCAATATTTTATATTTCTATCTTCCTTTTGAATGTGCTGATTGAGTTGGTTTATATTTATTGGGCACTTCACCAAATCTGAATATTATTTTATTAAATAAAAAAAGCTTACTGAGCTATGACATTCTTTCTCTATTTTTCTTTTGTAGCCAACACATATCTCTTTATGGTACAAGCTCGAGGTATAATGTTGAGAGAAAATGTGAAAACAATAGGTCATATGATCAGACTATACACGAATAAAAACAGTACGCTCAACGGTACAGGTAAGACTACTTTCTGCTTAACCCCTTGTCGTAAAGCAGTCAGCCAAATATTTTACAGTCTGTTTTGCCTTCAGGTAACTTCCTGTTAAACATGAAGGTATCTTCCCCTAAGTATCCTGGTAGATTATTTTACTGTTCAAATCAAGACTGTTACCTATTTTAGGATATATGAAGGTGTGGTCACAAAAGTGATGGGGTTTGGTGCAGATTCTTAATTCTTACAAACAAATTAAAATATAGAAAGCTGCTTCAACATTTTCAGTTCATATATTGTATTTAAGAGAAATTAACCAGAGAAGAATTTATTCATCTTCATGAGCCATACTACCATCTCTATGTTCATTCTAGTTCCTAAGTTGTTTTTCCAACTAGGTCTAGAAAATAGTTGTTTTTAATTATAGAAGATCGTTAATAGTTTTATGGCCTTTTTAATGAGCTAAAGGAGAAATTTTATAAAATTGGAAATTGGTAGCTGCTATTGTCTTTGTAAAATGTTACCTGGAAATAGAATCTCCATTAGAATCCCAGGATGCTAAAATCTAATAGGCTGAATAAATGATTTAATGATGGCAGAATCGATGTAAATAGATTTAACTACTGTGGAAGAATGTTAAAGCTCTTTTATGGCAGTTTTGCCACAGTGTATCCCAAAGTATTATTAGGTGTTACTTTAAGGGATTCAGTGGGGTTTTCAGTTTTCGCACTCTTTATGGTCTCATTTTGAACAGTTAAAATTAAAGATTTAATTTGTATTAATAATTCTTCCTTGTGTCACTGTAAACCTACACGTTCTACTAAGAGAAGTCTGTTTTCCAACTGTAGGTATTCTTTCTTACAGGTATGTCAAGGCGGGTAGTAGTTTTAGACCCTTCTAAATATTTAAGACTGTGACATATTGATATCAATTTAATAGCACATGTGCTTTTATAAAATCCATTCTAGTCATTTGCCTAAAATGTTTATGATGTCACAAATCAAAACACTCTTGTTTTATTTTAATTTTTTAACCTTGAGGGAATTTTTTTTAGAAGGACTGTCTCAACATAGTTGATGTTTTAATACTACAGTAAAAGTCTCGTTAACTGTTCTTTAGGATGAATGAGTCTTCTGAATAGTAGGTCAATTTTAGAAATTTAAACCTTTTAGAAGCTTCTGTAGGATTTGTGTTGGTTGAATAAGTTGATTGTAAAAATGTTGACTGAAAGTTTTTTCAGCTGAAAGGAAATAAACATCTTTGAATTGGTGTATTTGTGTGAATGATAAAAATTTGTGCATATCAGGTTGTTTTTCCTGGAGAATGAATAAAGGATATGTGCGGATGTTGAGCTTGATTAGGAGGAATAATTACCTGGGCAAGACAGTGTTTTCCTATCGTACCCTGCAACGAAAACAAAAACAAACAAACAAACAAAAAGACCAGAGAAATCCTTTCTCTCACCAAGTTATAGTTTCAATAAAGACCAAAGAACCAATGCATACTTTGATTAAAGTTTGCTTACTTTTATGAACCTTTGAAAACTTTTCATAGGGTTCCTTTACTGATGGTAAAACTGTTCTCAGGAAACAGTCATTGTATACATTAGGAATTGGGTTTGGATGTAAGAGAGACCTGTCTGTGGTGGGGTAAACATGTGAGGCTTTCTGTTCTCATGTGAAAGAACTCTGCAAGCTAGATATATGTGGCTGATGTGGAGGCTCCTTAAAGTAAGTCATCACATACTTTTCATTTTCTGCTGTCTGTCATGTAGCTCGATGAACTCATAGTCTAAGATGGCTGCTTCAGCACCATCTTTGTGTTTGAACTTGGGTCAGTAGGAAGGAGGAAAGGGAGAGCAAAGAAGAACAAATAAGGTACCCCCTTTTCTGGAGCCTTCCCAGAGGTCCCACACAGTATTTCCTCATCCATTTAATTGGCTAGAACTTAAGTGCATGCCCACATGCGATAACACCGGGAAATACAGTCTTTGACCTGGGTATGCTGGAACTTTAGTGAAACTAGGGTTACCTAAGGGGAAAGGAAAAAATGGAGTTTGAGTGAGCAATGAGGCTCTGCCATGTTCATTTAGCTAACATTTACTGAATAATAATTATAGTTAGTATATTTAACCAGCTACTGGAGACACAATATTAAGAAAAACAGTTTCCCTTTATATGAGAATCTCTTGGCATCTGGGAGAAATGGAAACATAAATAGTTATTTATAATGCAACTGGTTATTTCTACATAGACTTCTATAGATATAATCTCCAAAGAAGAAGATAATGGCCTATAAGGTGTCCAAAAAGAACTGAGCTCTAGAGGAGAATTGATTAATATGCAGTGGCTCATTTAAAATTTAACACTAAATGATAAATAGGTTGTGATAGTTATGAGCACATTTGATTTTCAAAAGGGGTTTTTAATACCTGTCTGTGGCATCAAATATAAATAGATGTATACTATTTTTGTAAAGAAATCATATACTTTCATAATCAAATGGTGCCATGTAGCCCACAGAGCCCAGTCAAATTATGAAAACAAGATGTATTCAGTGAATTCACCTAATTACTGAAGCAGATAAGGGCCATGCAATGTTAGAGTGGATAGGTTTGTTGGAAATAATCCAGCAAGCTTCCTCTTCGATGGATACATGAAGTGAGTTGCCCAGACAATGCCGAACTGACAAGTCAAGTTAGTGGGAAACAGACTAGAACTCTCCTTGGTTTCTAACACCTGTTTTAAGCTGCTGTTTAGCAGGAAAATAAAGCCATTAAAGGGTGTTCTTTGGTCCTGTTCTCCTTCTCCTTTAGGTGATAAGGTCCAGTGAGAATTAGTAGGGGATCCATCTGGCAGTTTTCATTCTTTGTTTCCCTTTTCTTTGGTTGTGTTTCTGGAAGGGAGGAAGAAAGCAAGGGGCCTAGAGCTCATTTTATTTTTATCCATTCATTAGATGAAATAATGTCTACCTTTTATAGCAGTTGTGGTGGATCTCAAATGCATCTGTCATGCACAACCTTTTAAATGGTTCCTGACTTTGAAAACAGTGGTTATACATGATGGACCATTGCTTACCTAACCACTTTTGTAGGAACAGTGATTTTGTGGGTTTATTATGGTATCATCTCCAAAAGATTAATTATTGACTGTATTATCATTTGTGAGGTATTTATTTACAGTATGTTCCTACTGTGTTGTAGGTACTTTATTAGGTGCTAGAAATTGAAGACAATTTGATTTCAATTAAAAGATATTCAGAGTAGTGGCCGGGGTGGTGGATATACTATATATGCTTAATACATTGGGAAGACACAGATACCACTGGACAGAGTACTCAGGGAGTGTGGAGGTGTTTTTCTAAGTCTGGCAGTGAGTTGAACTCCTTACAGTATGGCCAAGAACAGCACATGTTTAGCTCTAAAACTTTGTATTCAATCAGATGAATATAATGATATTGCATAACTTGAAGGCACTTAAAAAATTTGGTTCTTTAAAAACTGATAAAAGTGATGGAATGTGTATTTTTGTGATTCAGCCATTTTAGCACTAAAATAAAAACTGGAAGAATTCTCTCTGGCCCTCCTGTTGCCATCTGACTCCCCAGAAGGAGTTAATTGTTTTGTAAAATGTCTAGAGAGCCAAGCACTTCTGTGAGTTGGATGTGGGTTTAAAGAATTATAGCATGTGGCTAAGAGAAGGAGCCCAAACATTAATTATAAGAATTAATAAATTATGCAGAATAAGAAAATACTCTTTTTTTTTTTTTTTTTGAGACGGAGTTTCGCTCTTTTCACCCAGGCTGGAGTGCAATGGCGCGATCTCGGCTCACCGCAACCTCCGCCTCCTGGGTTCAGGCAATTCTCCTGCCTCAGCCTCCTGAGTAGCTGGGATTACAGGCACACGCCACCGTGCCCAGCTAATTTTTTGTATTTTTAGTAGAGACGGGGTTTCACCATGTTGACCAGAATGGTCTCGATCTCTTGACCTTGTGATCCACCCGCCTCGGCCTCCCAAAGTGCTGGGATTACAGGGAAAATACTCTTAAAGTTAATGCATGATGTCAACAAATTATTTGAGTATTGCATGAAAATGTAAATATTTTTCTGCTTCAGGATTATAAGAAAATGAGCCTTGGAACACCTCAAGGAAGATGACCCCCAGGGACAAACTTACTCATTTTATTTTTTTTGTATTTTAAAATATTGTTATATCATAGTTGAACATCCAAGGACAACCTTATTTATTGTCTCATTCCTGTGACTGTGTAGTGTATAGTATATTCTTAATAAAAATTGAAGAGATTCAGAAAAATTATCATCTCTATATAGCTAGCTCATCTTTTCTTTATGGTGGTATGTGCAACAAAAGCTATCATATGAACTCTGTGTGTGTGTGTGTGTGTGTGTGTGTGTGTGTGTGTGAGAGAGAGAGAGAGAGAGAGAGAGAGCGCATATTAGCTAATTTGTGAAGAACTTGCCATTCTGTATTTATTGTTTTAACTGCTCATTTATTCATATTGAAAAACAAACTAAATAACTTTCTTGCATTTTTAAGTAGAACTTTTGATATCTTAAGAGTAGAAAAGAGTATAATAACAGTCTCCTAGTTCACTCCTCTCTGAGTTCCAGTCCTCAGAGAACTAACAGTTTATTATGTATTTATCTTTATGTTTCTATCATGCTGTTTCTTGATTTATCAATTTTAACTACTCTTGTTATGGAAGAAAGACATTTCATAGTATAGCCTCACCCAGTTTTACCTATTTTTATCCCCAGTATAATTGTGTCACAATTTAAGTACAAATCAATATTGTTGATGTTGTTAAAAGAGTGTGTAGATAATGGTTTGTTTGTTTTCCTGAGTCTAGTTGTAATTATGTTTGTTTTGTAGATCTGTTTATTTTTGTTGATGTTACTTGTTAACTCTTTTTTTCCCCCAATTTGTGGAGCCGCCTTAGTCTGTCACTGATTTTGCCTGAGCTCCTTAGGCACGTGAGTTGACCACACTAAGGGGGGGTTTCCAAAATTCCTGTGCCATTGTTTTCTCTCTTCCAGTGCTGCTTTTGAGAAGTCTGTTGAACATCCTGGTTGCAGTTACTGTTCATGGACCAGTTTTTTCTTTCTGGAGACTTTTGGGATCTTTTTTGTATTGTTAAATTTTACAAAGAGCATCTTGGAGCTTTGCTTTTCTTCTCTTGCTGGGAGCAGACAGTCCTATCAATATGGAATGTCTTATCCTTCAATTCTCCAAAATGTTTTTATATTATTTCTTTGATAATTTTTCTTCTTGCTATTTTTCTTTCTGTTTGGAACTCCTATTATGTATTATCATTTCTCTCTTGCTTTCCAATTCTTTTTATTTGCTTTCTATCTTTCTGGGAGATTGCTCTGACTTTATTACAGTGCTTTGATTTGATTTTTAAAATTTTGGCAAACTTATTTTTAAGAATTCTTTTTGTTTGTTTTTTTCTTTTACTGTTTCTCTCAAATAAGAATGTCTTATCTTCCTTTCCAGGAATATTGAAGATAAATATGCAACTTTAAGTTATAAATCAAAGAATTTGACTAGACATTGTAACAAAACTCATAACAATAGTAATCTTAAGCAGTTTTGTTGGGAAGAACAGAAACCCAATTCATGCTGGTTGCACTCCCTCCTGCCACTAGCAAAGTAGGAGTCCCCATAAAAAGGAAACCTTTTTTTAAAAAAAAAAAAAAAAAAACTTGAAATGTGACACATATCTAGATATATATATATTAAAAACATCTTAAGTGAAGAATCAAGCCAGGTGTGGTGACTTATGCCTGTAATCCCAACACTTTGAGAGGTTGAGGCAGGAGGATTGCTTGAGCCCTGGAGTTGGAGACCAGCCTAGGCAACATGGCAAGGCTCTGTTTCTACAAAAAACTACAAACTTAGCTGGCTGTGGTAGTGCATGCCTGTAGTTCCAGCTATTAATAATTGGGAGGCTGAGTTAGGAGGATCACTTGAGCCCAGGAAGTCAGTGCTGCAATGAGCTGTGATCACAGCTCTGTACTCCAGCCTGTATGACAGAGCAAGATCCTGTCTCAAAAAAAAAAAAAAATTAAAGGAAAAGAATCGGAACTTTATTGGACTTCCTTATGCTTGCTTTTGCTTCATATTTTTAAATGTTTCAGACACATGGGGAATACACTGAGCATGGGCTACCAGAGCAGTGTCTGTGGTCTTGGTGTATCACTTGGCATACAAAACAATTAATTGTCCACTGAATTTCTCCTCCCCTTGTCATTTGGAGGGTTTTCCTTGTGAAGGGCATTCCATCACTCCTCCAGGGAGAGACATTGGGGAGGATTGTCTCACTGGGGCTTTCCCACTTCCTGGTAGAATAGGCTTTAGCAGTTGTACCATCGTTGGTCTCTATTATGTTGGGGTTTTCTGGGAATGCATTTACCTTAACGCCTTACTGATGCCCTGTGAAATTCAAAACTGGGGTTTCCATGTAGTTCTTTGGAATTGGACCTTGTGGCTTCTGTTTCCTCCTTGGTACCCAGCCTGGAACCTTTGTCCATCCCCAACACCCTCTGCTTAACAGCCATGGTAGGGCCTCTTTCATTTGACAGGCTTGCAGGTGGCCTGGGTCTCTGCCATGAAGAGACCTGGCTCCCATGCTGCATCCCCACCAACTCCATTGTGATGATGACTGAGTATTGATGTGAGGTAAAGGTGTGCAGGGGAGATGCTTAGTTTCTTTGGCTCCTCTCACATACTTTGTATCTAATTTGCAGGATTCTGTTACTTGCCTGTGGGTCAGAGGGTTTAGCTTTTACACTCTCTTTCATTGGAGTAGATTACTCAAGATTCAAAGGATATCTTTACATTTTCCTAAAGTGTCTGCTTGAGTTTCACTCTCTGTGGTACAGAGACAGACAGATCCAGGAGACAGACAGTAGTTTAATGAACTGTTTGCATCTCTCATTTCTTACTCATGCATGTTGATGTCATTCTCTTAGGCCAGCTTCCCTACAAAACAGGAAACCTGCCTGTCATGGTTCCTAGATTTGTATCTCAGAACTTTGCTCCAGAAAGGGACTGAAATGTGATCTTTCTGGTTCCATGTTCAAAAATCCCAAGTCTGTGACTGTCTCATGGGTCAGGTGCTCATCTCTAATCACTTATAGCTACAATTATTAACTATTTATCTGGGCCTGGGATTGTTCTCTGTGTTTTACACATTTCCTTTTATTGAAGTTTAAAAATGACAGTATGAAGTAGGCATAGATGGGAAGCGATGCCTACTTCGTGTCCTGCCCTGTATCATACAGCTACTGTGCGTTGGAGCAAGGATTTGAACTCAGGCATTTGACTTTGGTGCCCTTTGTGCAGTTTATCTTGCTGACTCTAAAGATAATGGACCTAATGTAATAATAGCTCTAGGGTTCCCACGGGGCTGCAGCCCACAGGCTGGGAATGACTAATTTAAAGGTTTAAAATAAGCTGTATTACAAAAGTAAGTTGAGTGGGTAAATCTCATTTCTACAGGGTGAGGTGGTAAGAAAACATTACTCCCACCCCTCTGCTCTGTGGATGCTAGTAACAGCATGTGGCGGTTTGGAATACCCTTAGCTGTGCCATAGTGGAGGGGATTCCGTATACTTTCACACTCCCTTTAGATCTAGCTCAGCCAGGGGAGGGATGGGAGCAGGTGTTCTCATGTGGTTGCAAATGGGACTGCTATGTCTGTGTGCAAGGATAAGGGTGTACTGCTCTCTAGATATCTCCTGGAAATTGTGCTGAGAGGTCTGTTCTCAGCAGCAGTTTGCTATTCTCTAGTTCTTTAAAGATAATTGATTTGAAGTACTTCTGTAGATTGTATGTTGTTGTTTTCTCACAGAGACAGTGACATATTTCATTCCAGGGACAAAGCAAAAGGCATTTTTTTTTTTGTAACTCTTTTCTCTCTCTCCAAGATTATCCTGAAGGCAATAATTCAAGTGATTATCTTGTTCAAACAACAACGTATCTTCCGGAAAACTTCACGTATTTACCATACCTCCCCTGTCCAGAAAAACTGCCTTACATGCGTAAGTCGTCATCTAATTTTGACTTAACTGTTTACTTGTGTTGTACAGTCATAAAAACCACATGATATGAGCACATCAGGATCAGGTCATTACTGTGGGTGCTAATGTTCATATTACACAGCATGTTATTTGAATTTTTTTTTTTTTTTTGGCAAAGTGCTTTTTGAAGGGAGATGATTGAAAAGCTAAAGAAAAATACTAAGGGGAAAATGACAAATACCCATACTTCTCCCACCAAGTTTTAAAAACTAATACTTTGATTTACTTATGTCCAAATTCTTTTAAAACAGTGTTTAAGAGAGTAACTAATCTGTAGTCTCCTTTTGAATATGTTAAAATGTTCCTGATTAAGCCAGTCCTTTTTGATCACTTTCTCCAATGCTGGCTCTCCATTTCTTCCTCAGAAGTAACCTTACTTCCACTGAGAGTTTGCTGTGTATTTTTACAGGTTATGGAAATTGTTTTTTACGTAGATGTTTCTATAGAAAATAGATATTCTTTCGAAGGGGTATTTATGTAAATTGGTCTTATACCGTACCTTTCATTTTTATAACTTGCTTTTTCATATGCTTTCTTGAGAACTGCCTATGTTATTACATATAGACCTAATTTATTTCCCTTAAATATGACTGTGTAGTATGTCTTTGTATAAATGCATCACATCTCATTTACCTGTTTCCCCATTGATTTACATTTAGGTTGTTTCAACTTTTTTGCTATCACAAAATAGCAACAACAACAAAAATTTATGTATATATATATTTGGTATAAAGAACAACAGAGTGTGGGTTTTCCTTTGCATATATGTATGTGTACTTCAGGGTTGATGGCTCATGGTGGAATTGCTGGGTAGGTTGGCTCAGTTTTTCCAGGTTTTGTCAATTGCTCTCAAAAGCAGCTATACCAATTTATATCCCTAACATCCAAGCATGAATGTACCACTTTGACATTGATGGACTTTTAAATTCTTGCTAATCTGAAAGATTAACAAATGGTTTCTTATTGTTTCCATTTTCACTTCCCTCATTACTGGTGGATTTGAGTGAGTTTTCCGTGTTTGTGATTTTAAATTTTCTCTCTGTGACTTGCTGCATCATGGGCTTTTTCAGTTCCTGGTTGGTTATTTGGTATTGGTATTGATCTCTAGGAATTCTTTATATTCTGGCGGTGGCCTTTTGTCTGCTGTGTGTTTCATAAGCATCTTTTCACATTCCTGGGTTTCTCGTTTTGTCTTTTATTTTATGGAAGTTTAAAATTATGATGTTTTCAAATGTTTTAATCACTTTACTTAACTGGTTTTGCCTTTTTTTGGTCTTAAAAGCTTTTCGTACCCTGAGAATCATTTATTTCCTTCTAATGATTTTACTATTTTGTTTTTAACCTTTATGTGTAATGTGTGGTAATGATAAAGCTACTGTACTTTATATAGTTTTTAAATTATGAAGATAATACATTATCATTATTTAAAAAAAAAACTATGCTGTACTCTCGACACTCAGAAGTCACACAGGTATTATTTTGGCATTCTTTTTGTATGTCTTCTACCCCTGCCCCATGATTTTTAAGCATACTTTGTACATATAAGTTTGTATCTTGGATTTGAGATAATTAAATATTTAAATAAACATCTTTTTGAATTGCATTTTTATCCACATTCTGATGTATTTTGTATCTGTATTTTGTATTCTTTACATGAGCTTTTTTAATTGAGGAAATCAGCTTCTGCCTATCATATATGTAGGATTTGTCTTAGTTTATTGTTGATAGATATTATATATCAATAATAAAAAGAAATATTGACCTTTTAAGATCATCTAAGGCTGTGGCTTTCAGACTTGAGGGTACCTCAGAATCATCTGGATTGTCTTGTCAAATTGCTGGTCCTGCTTTCAGAGTTTCAGACTCAGCAGGTCTGGAGTGGGCCTGAGAATCTGCATTTCTAACAGGTCCCACAAGGTGACGTTGCTGCCACAGAGCCTCGGACCATGTCTTGAGACCTGCTGATCCAGAGTAGTAGGCCTGGGCCCTGGTATTAAAAAAATTTTTTCAGGTTATTCTAATCTTACTGTCTCTTTCCTGTACCATAATAAAGCAGCAGCTATACCAATTTATATTGGTGTATATAAATTGATATAAACTCAGTGATTTTTGTGGCTACTGTTACTTTGTTACTGCAGCCTTGTTTTCCTAAAAATGAGTATTTTTATCTGTATAATGCTGAAACCACTGGGTAATGTTCTGTTGAAATATTGATTACAATAATTTCATTTTCATAATTTGCATATTCAAGGTTTATAGTTTCAGGAAATCTTTCTGTTCTTGGTTTAGTTGCCATTTTCTTTAATTAGTGCTTTATGAGTACTAATTAAACTCTATTTCAAAGCATGTGTCTGCCAGTTCCTCATGCTGGTACTCTTCTCCTTCAGCCCTACAGCCCATTGTACCTTCTTTGTCATGGCGCTTGAGAGATTGCGTCATGTGTGGCCGCTGTGCACTGCCTTTTCACCAGGGGATGGGGAAGGGCCTCAGTGCTACTGCCCCTTCTTCCTGCTTCCCTGGGATCCTTGCATTCTTTTGTAAGAGAGAATCATACTGGTGTGGCCAGTCATCTTTTCACAGCAGGTCCTCTCATGGGTTGCCAACTTTGGGTCCTGCCCCAATCCTGTGCCCAGTTAGTACTGGCCATGGTGGTAGGGTGATTTGGTAGAAAATACAGCCACATACAGATAAGGCTTTAGAAAGGAGCCAGGGGTGCAGCCAACATAACGAGACTTCTGCGGAGAGAGCCTTGCATGAGCTGCCCAACAGAGCACTTCACTAGTCCTGTGACCTCCACAAAGTGAAGACTTAGTGTACCTGTCTGTAAAACCTGGGATTCTGATGTCACCTGCAGAATGTGGAAAGGATTGAATGAAGCACAGTGCTTGAAGTTTGAGAGGCATTAATTTGATTCTCCCTTTCCTTCTCTCTACTTCTTTGAATAATAGAGCTGGACTTTAGAGTGGTCAAGGGAATGAGACACCTAGGAGAGATGTATGGAATTTGGAAGTTTTACTCTAAGCTATGCATCCTTAAATTTTTTTACTTAAAAAGGTAGTTTTCATTGATAATAGAGAACAATGTGATAAAATGCACAAGTATAAAATCTTATTATGATAGTCACACAAATAAATTGAATATGAGTCTTTCCCAAATAATAATTAGAAGGGATTTGTGTAAGAATTAGATCTACTTGGATGAAAACCATTCAAGTATGAGTGATATTTACTTACAGTCACTAAACGTGAAGTTAAAGCTTAACATGAGTGTATTTGATTATCCTGTTATAAACCTCTTTGATTTTTACCTAGTATAGCAATGGAAACACTGGCACTGGATTTCTGTAAAAATGAAGTGAATTTTTCAAATTGGAATTCAGATAAAATGTGTTTCATACATTTCAGCAGTGTTTCATATTCAATAGTGGCTAATTACACTATGAAATCTATTTTAATGTGTATTTTTTTATATGAAGAGTATGAGTGAATACTTCTTCCTTGTTAGTATTTACAGATTCTCCAAAGAGCAAATCCACATTCAGCTTTATTGGATTTATGTAAGATTCTTTGTGCTAACAAAGTAAAATAGAAGTTTCACCTTGTTGAAGGCTAAAAATTAATAAGTGCTTAGTGTGGATGTTTTGATTTTCATTTGTATGAGTGAGGTAGAAATGGAAAATGTCAATTGCATACTCTGCATTAGACTGAAAATAGACTTACCTTTAGTTTTCCTATCTTTTAATTCTTATTCAAATAGAATGCATTTGCAGTGACCTTATATATTCTGTTCTTACTATTTGTGGAATAGTTCCCTTTATGGTTTAACTCTAATAGTTTCTATAGTTGCTAACCTTATGAATATAACAAAAGCTTCAAGGAATTTTTGAGGTGAATTTAAATAATTCAAATGAAAATCAGCAAAAAAGGAAAAGATAAACAAACTTCAGCAAAACTCAAGTAATGCTAATGTAACCATTATACATATGTTTATCGTAAAAAAAAATGAGATGGGAGCCATTTTAGAGTCAACAAGTCATTGATGGACGACAGCTGCTATGCAGTGGGCCCAGTGTTGTTCATAGAAGCAGGCAAGGGAAAGGGAAAGCTGAACATGGTCATGTGTGTGGCACCTCGGAGCAGGGAACACACTTGGAAAAGGCATGTTATGAAAAGGTTATGACTGTGACAAAAGGCAAACAGCAGTTTATTCTGGAAGGGGAAGGACAGTGTCAGAGAGATGCGTCATTAGAACTGGGTCTTACAAGATAGCTGAGAACAGCATCAGCACGAGGAGACTGTGTGTATTCCCGTACTGGATAGTGGTCAGCTCTGCCCAGAGAGGGTGTGTAAGTGATATGTATGGGAAATGAAGCCGGCCAGAAGGGTCTTGTGTAAAGGACTGAGGAATCCGAGAGCCTTGTGGGTTCCATCATTCCTTGGCATCCGTGAGGTGAGCTTCGGCGGGAGCAGAGCCTGTGAGCTTATATGCAGAGGGTTGATTTATGAGCCTGTGTGCATTTCTCACAGATAAGAGTGCATGATTTTCAAAGAGTCTAGGGGCAAAAAAAAAGCCAAAAGCAAAAATAAAAAACCTCACTGCTTTAGGGAAATGGAGAACCATCGAAGGCTTTAGTCAGGTGAATGATGGACTAGGATTGTATTTTAGGAAGGTTATTCAGATGAGAAGCTGAAAAATGGGTGAGAATGGAGAAATACTGGGATGGCCAGGAGACCAATGAGGAGCTTGCTGCAGGGAGCCGAGAGGAAACGACAAGGCATGTGCCAAGGCGGTGGCGTTGGAGAGAGGAGGAGGCACAAAAAATGACCTATTGGGTGCCATTGGCCAGATGTGGTGACTAATTGAGGAGTGAGGGTTAATTTCCAGGTTTCTGACTTGGTGACCATGAACTGAAGTGTACAGGGTAAACATCACATTTGGAAGATGGGGAAGTGAATGAGTTA